ATCAAATTAAAGATGTATGATGGAACAATCAAAGTTTTTCGAGATGTGCGGCACGTGAAAGACCTAAAGAAAAATTTATTATCCTACGGATTGTTGGATAATAATACAAGCAAGATTAAAACACGGAAAGGAATCATGAAAGTGTTCCGTGGATCGCTTGTGGTGATGAAAGGTGAAAAGATAGCAGCAAACTTGTACATGCTGAAGGGAGAGACTTTGTTAGAAGCAGAAGCCTTTGTTACCTCATGTAGTTCAGATTCTGCAATGCTATGGCATCAGAAACTTGGACACATGTCAGAACAAGGAATGAAAGTCCTTATGGAGCAAAAGCTACTTCTAGGCTTAACAAAGGTATCACTTACATTGTGTGAGCATTGCATAACAAGTAAGTAGCACCGGTTGAAATTTAACACGTCAAATTCTAGAGGCAAAAGTGTTCTAGAATTGGTTCACTCTGACGTATGGAAAGCACCAATTACATCTCTAGGTGGAGCAAAATACTTTGTCTCATTTATTGATGACTACTCTAGGAGATGTTGGGAGTACCCTATTAAAAAGAAGTCAGACGTGTTTTCCACTTTCAAAAACTTCAAAGCGCGGGTAGAACTTGATTTTGGAAATAAGATCAAGTGTTTTAGAACATATAATGGAGGAGAATACACAAGTGAAGAATTTGATGACTTTTGCAAGAAAGAATGCATCAAAAGACAGTTCACAGTGACGAACACTCCTAAAAAAATGGAATGGCAGAGCAGATGAACAGAACCTTGTTAGAAATAACAAGAGCAATGTTGAGGGATACAGGCCTAGAAAAATCATTATGGGCAGAAGCAGTCAATATCGCCTGTTATTTGGTGAATCGAGCTCCATCAACTGCAATAGAGCTAAAGACACTAATGGAGATGTGGACTGGTAAACCAACTGATTATTCAAACCTCTATGTATTTGGAAGTATTGTGTACGTGATGTACAACTCCCAAGAAATTTCAAAGTTGGATCTAAAATCCAGGAAATACAAATTCTTGGGGTATACTGATGGTGTAAAGGGGTATCGCTTGTGGGATCCCACTGCCCGCAAAGTGATCATTAGCAGGGATGTTATCTTTGTAGAAGATAAGCTACAAAGAAAATAAGGCGATGATAGCATTAAAAAGTCAGAGACTACACATATACATGTGGAAAAGGAGGTTGAACAAGGAGATTCTTCTGAAGTAAAACCAACAAATGATGAATAAGAACCAGAGAGTTCTGAAGCTCCAATAACTCGTCAATCAGATCGTGTAAGAAGACGTCCCAATTGGCACTTAGATTATGTTATATAAGGTAATTTTGCATATTGCCTTTTAACAGAGGACGGTGAGCCATCAATATACCATGAGGCAATAAACAACTCAGATGTTACACTGTCGATGATGGCGATGCAAGAAGAAATTGAAGCCCTTCATAAAAATAATACATGGGACCTTGTGTCACTACCACAAGGAAGGAAGCCAATTGGTAACAAATGGGTATTCAAAATCAAGCGAAATGATGACGATCTAGTGGAGAGGTATCGTGCAAGACTGGTGGTCAAAGGATATGCTCAAAAAGAAGGTATTGATTTCAATGAAATCTTTTCTCCTGTGGTTCGACTAACAACAGTTTGAGTAGTATTGGCAATATGTGCTACATTGAACTTACATCTAGAGCATCTAGATGTTAAAACAACTTTTCTTCATGGAAATCTTAAAGAAGAGATTTACATGCTCCAGCCTGAAGGTTTTGAAGAATGCGAAAAGAAGAACTGGGTTTACAAGTTGAACAAATCTCTGTACGGTCTAAAGCAGGCGCCAAGGTGTTGGTATAAGAGATTTGATTCCTTCATTATGTGCCTTGGATACAACAGACTTAATACAGACCCTTGTGCTTATTTCAAGAGGTCTGGTGATAACGATTTTGTTATATTGTTGTTGTATGTGGATGACATGTTGGTTGCAGGACCCAACAAAGATTATATTGAAGAATTGAAGGCACAACTGGCTAGGGAATTTGAAATGAAGGACTTGGGATCAGCAAACAAGATTCTAGGGATGCAAATTCACCGAGACACAAGTAATAGGAAGATTTGGCTTTCATAAAAGAATTACTTGAAGAAGATCTTGTCAAGATTCAACATGCAAGATTGTAAGCCAATTTCTACCCCTCTTCCTATTAACTTCAAATTATCCTCTAGTATGAGTCCTAACAGTGAAGAAGAGAGGATAGAGATGTCTCGAGTACCGTATGCATCGGCAGTGAGAAGTTTAATGTTCACTATTATATGCACAAGAACATATATTGCACAAGCAGTGGGAGTGGTTAGTCGGTACATGTCGAATCCAGGCAAAGAGCATTGGAATACAGTAAAGAGGATCCTGAGATACATCAAAGGAACCTCAAATGTTGCATTATGTTATAGAGGATCAAACTTACTAATCAATGGGTATGTAGATTCTGACTATGCAGGGGATTTAGATAAAAACAAATCTACTACAGGATAAGTGTTCAAAGTTGCTGGTAGAGCTGTAAGGTGGGTTTCAAAATTGCAGTTAGTTGTGGCTACATCCACAACAGAGGCAAAATATGTAGCAGCTACAAAAGCCAGTAAATAAGCAATTTGGTTGAAGATGTTATCGGAGGAGCTTGGGCACAATCAAGAGTATGTCTCTCTATTTTGTGACGGTCAAAGCGCCTTGCATCTAGCAAGGAATCCAGCATTTCATTCAATGACAAAGCACATACGAGTTCAGTATCATTTCATTCGTGAAAATGTGGAAGAAGGGACGGTAGATATGCAGAAGATCCATACCAAAGATAACATAGCAGATTTCATGACGAAGGCGGTTAACGCTGATAAATTTACTTGGTGGCATTCCTCTTGTGGCCTGTCAGAGTCATAAGCAACATGATGGTACAAGGTAGAAAGAATGGTATGAAGATATGATTGTTACAATCAAATCTTCAAGTGGGAGATTGTTGAAAAGTCAACGAGTGGGATAAGCCACTTTCGGTGCACATGCAATTATTCAACAATTGCTTTCGGTGGTATCACCAATTTTGTCCAAAAGGCAAGCCTCAATTGTTGAAAATGAAATGGTTAAATCTAACAATTAATCCCTGAACTTTAGGATATTTATAAGATTAGTCCTTAAGTTTCAACTATAAATACCCTAGCTCATTTAGCTTCAAAATCATCCCAAATCATTTTAGCTTTCTCCCAACACTAGAGAATTTAGAGAGTTTTCTTGAGAGTTATTTTCACTTTTTTTATCAAGAGAGAATTATCATTGTTTTCTCCTTGTTAGATCGAGAGAAGTTGTAATTCCTATTTTCTTATAGTGAAATTCTTCTACCATTGCCTGTGGTTTTTACCCTATATTATTTAGGGGTTTTCCACGTAAATTTGTGTCTTCTTTATCTTCATTTTTATTTTCTCAAATTATCAGTTGCGATTTTGCTCTATCCGATAGCCGTATTCCACAACAGTTTACGTGGTTAATTTGGTTTGTCCAAATTTAAACTTCATAGATCATGAAATAAGAGATCGACAGCAAGAAGATAATCAACTTTTTTATTACAAAAAGAAATGTCAAAGTTTGAATAGGTGTAAATATAAAGCTCTGGTGAGACCTTCAGTTTGAATAGGTGTAAATATAACGCTCTGGTGAGACTTTTAGTTTTTTCTTTTCCACTGTAATTATGGAACGATGTGTCAACATTATGAAATCTCAATTTAGTCTAAATATTACAGTATCAATCACTGTGAATCATCGCATCAATATTATAGAACATCATACTAACATCATGAATTGTCACATCAATATTGTAACGATCAATAACATAAATCGTTACTCAAAAGGTCGCATTGGATTTTCTTCTTTGAATTTGAGTACCACATTGAGTATAAAAATAGTTTCAGACAGATTCAGTCACAAAAAGAATAGAAATGTCAATCAACTCAACTCAGCTTGATGGTAGTAATGGAGATGTTTTGAGAATATAGTTTGCCACTTGAAGTAATACCAGTTGATGATTGATGCGTTCTAAATATTTGGAGGGATATATCTCGAAGGGAGAGTTTGTCTTTTTGTAAGGTTGTTTTACTTTCTATGATGTTAAGAATTTTGTAATGTGTTTTTTTAATTGTCAGGTGCTGTAAGAATGTGTCTATATAGGCGTCTTTTCTATATTTTTTTACTATTAATATGTACTCTTTTTTAAAAATAAAGAAATTTTTTAACGAGACATGATGATATTGTATGATCATTTTATTTCAATAAAAATCATATATTATTAGGGGGGGGAAACTCAAACTCAGCTTCATTACAGCACATTATACCAAGTGGTCCTGAGCACATACCTTTAATGCTGCTATCTGTAGTAGCATCCCTCAAAACATCACAACAATTTGCAGGACCAGGTTCACCACGCGCAGAACAATTTGACGGAAAAGACCAAGAAATTCCATAACTAAACTTAGAAACACGCATCACAAAGTGGTAGCCAACAGGCCTCAACAGTAACATTCGAACCTTCCAAGGAATTGATCCAAAACATACCGGGCCATTCCATTATTCTTTTTCTTTATTCTCAAAGTCAAATTCTTTCCATAAAGTGCACAAAGTTACACCACAATCATCCATATACTTTTAGTGATGCATAAAAGGGACATCATAGCATGGAACAATCAACTCCTTAGTGGAATGTGGCATCACCCATGTACACAATAGACTCAACAATTTTTCAATTTTAAATACTTTAAAAAAATAATATTTATTTTTATCATCGAGAACACTCAAAGATTCAAACTGTTTATGAGGTTGAGTGGGTTAATTTGCTTCCATATGTAATGCGGTGGCTGTACGTGCACCGCAGTATGTGCTAATATATTCCTTTGCCTTCCTTGCGGAAAGGCTAATTCATAATAGTTTATGGATTACATTATTTGACCCCGGTAGGCAATTTCATGACCTATATAAACGACACCATACGAGGGTTCTTTTAAATTAACCAAAAAAGTTCCAATTCCCTTGAGATTCTGAGCAGAAAAGCAATGGAAAGAAGATTGATTTTGATTTTGGCTCTCTGCAGAGCCATACCTTGCCAGGGTTACTACTCTCAGAGCAAGCCATATGTTCCACCGAGAGAGAAGGTCACCAAACTCCACTTCTTTTTTCATGATACAATTAGTGGTAAAAACCCTACTGCTATCTTGGTCGCTCGTCCTAACTTCGCCGCTGTCTTCAAGAACACACCAATACCTTTCGGCAGTGTTTTCGCCACCGATGATCCCATCACCCTCGGTCCTAACTTAACCTCAGGGGTCATTGGGAATGCTCAAGGCATCTGGGCTTCCACCGGCCAAGATGTGTTGACTTTAGTGGTTTACTGGGATGTAGGGTTCACTCAAGGTAAATTCAACGGTAGCTCTATCACCATGTTCTCGAGGAATCCTATAGCGCAGATGGAACGTGAAGTTGCTGTGGTAGGCGGAAGAGGAAAATTCAGGATGGCGAAAGGATTCGCACAGCTTAAAACTTACTTCGCAGATTTCACCACCGGCGATGCCATCGTGGAGTGCAATGTTACCGTCATATATCACAGAGTTTAGATTTTTGTGAGCTCTGTTTTGTATGCTTATGATACATGGAGTGCAATCTTACCTTTTATTGCTTTCCTTCTTTTTTACAATTACTGTTTCTGATAGGCTTAATACTCAAATAAGTGCTCAAATTATACTCCTTTTTCTAAATAGGTGCCTACAATATTTTTTTACTCATCCAGATGCTTAACATTGCAAATATTATCACTTTAGGTGCCTGGGGCCATCAACGACATTGATTTTCTCCATTAAGTGGCATGTATCACAATATGATAATTTTAAAAAATTTATATAAAATTAAAAAAATAAAATTATATATATTTAAAAAAACAAATAGATTTTGAAATAACCCCAAAACTTTGAAAACATTTATTTCAACCTCTAAACCCACGCCGATCGCAGCCCTTTGCCATCGACGAAGCTCCAATCGACCTCACCTCCCCCGATGACCAAAATCTCTATGAAATCATGATCGATCGACGGTGAATCGACGTTTTATACCCCGCGAACCCTATGATTAAAATCACGATCCCACACAATTCTGATGGTTAATCGACAATAACTACGTCGGCGGCGATGGTTGTGGCCGAAAAGGGTGCGACGACGGACTAGTGTTAGGATTTAGGGATTTTAGGGTTTTTTTTGTAATTTAAAAGAAATTAGGGTTTTTTTATAAATATAATAATATTTTAAAAAAATCAATTTCAAAAGTATTAGATTGTGACGCATGTCACTTAACGGAGAAAACTAACAGTTATTATGTCTCATACACCTAAAATGGTCACGCTTGTAATATTATGCACCTGAATGGATCAAAAAGTACTATAGGCACCAATTTGAATAAATAGGGTATAGTTTGGGAACTTATTTGGATATTAAGCCTTTCTAATAAAACTTTGTTATGAAAGCCACCGCTCAACAACTTGCTCAAGTCATGGCTTTGCAGACCACCGATGAAGTCAAGGAAGATGACGATCTAAGATTCCGGTTTGGTGGTCCTCTAGTAAATCCTAGCTTCTCTAATAACGGTTTAAATCACAGTACTTTGCCGACAATCTCAATACTTCTCTGTCAAAGTTTTTTTCTTCTTCTCTTCATCCTCTTTCTACTGATTTCAAATTTACAATACTAAACAGAACAACCTCAATGGGTTGCAGTCTGTCTGCAAAACTAAGCCACCTGTTAGACTAATTCTCCAATTTAAGTTTAATCTTCTCCACCAAGTTAGTGCAATCCTTCTCAGTCAACTTGTGGGAACTAACAGGTTACACTACAATCTTAAAATCAGTAGCCTTCTGAACAATAGAATCAATCCAGAAGAATGCCCGAAACAAACAATTCAAACTTAGCTGCATTAATCCTCAAATAAGAGAATTCATAAAATATTTCTAACATATACTCAACACCCAAAATAGAATTTAAGGTTCCTTTGTAAAAAAAAAATAAGTCATCTACAAAGTACAGATGAGTTAGCGTAACTTTTTTGCACTTGAGTGAAATGAAAAAACTTCTTGATAACAGCTTGATCTAACATATAAGTCAAAACATTCATAATAACAACAAAAAGGTAAAGGGAAATTAAGAGTTAAACGTGTTATTATGATAATTTTAGGATTAGGGTCATTATTGTCCCGGTAGTAAATTCAATTTATCAATTTCGTCTCTATTGTATTTTTGTATTCATTTAGCTCTTTAAATTATTTAAGGTGTTTACCTAGCCCTTAAAATCCGTTTTGACTAACAGTCTATTAGTCCACGTTTATCAACACTAGTGTCGACACTGTTTTTCGTCCGGGCAGTGAAAGAACGATACCGACTCGGGGGTTTTCTGTTTGAAAAGATTTTTCGAAATGAAGGGAGTCGCCACCAATCATTTAAGGTGCGATTGGAACACTGTAAAATCCGGATGATTTTAATAAAACGTTTTATTTTTATCAAAATATTGAGTTTTTAGGGTCTCTGAAAATCCAGAAATCGGGTTCGGGAGTCATTTTACGTGTGGGAAAGGATTAGCACCCCCACAAGCGCCCAAAAATTGATACCTAGTTGATTACCATACATTTAAAATCGGAAATTTTGAGTTTGATCTTTATTCAATTTGAAATCATTACGGATGCAAAGTTGAAAAGGGTATTCTTTTATTGATACTGATAGCACGCTCCCAAGTGTAAATGTGGGAGATCAATTATTGTGCCTAATAATCGAATATTGCCTCGTTTTTAGAAAATCATGATGCGGTCTTTGAAAATGATGTTGACCTATTTCGAAAATCACCAGTAGTCACCCCCTGAGCATACTTGCGAGAGATGTACCATTAATTCCCTAATAAGTGAACATTGCCTTGGGTTAGAAAATAGAATGCGATCAAACAAATTTTTATTTAATCCTAATTAAGCTAAGGTAAATTAAAGGTTTTTTCTAGCTTAAGGTGTCAAATTATGAAAATTAAAGGACCTAAAGGCTCAAACCTAGAAGTGTAGGTTCTAATATTAATCTTATTTGATTTTAATCAATTATCGAATCGAATAATCGAAATGGTCCCTCGAGCAGTTAGGCGAGGGCCAACTCGAATTATTCCCTAAATTAAAAGACTAGTTTGAAATCTAACTAAAAGTAATGGCTCTATTTAACCTATTTAATTATGTCAAAATTAAAACACTAATCGAAATTCGAGGACTAAAGGTCAAAGATCTAAAATATCGATTTCTAAAAGATTTAAAAGCTTAGGACTTAAATTGATAATTTATAAAGTTGAGGACTAAATAATAACCCAAAAACCTAATTATCTAAATTAACTTATTTAAAGAACTAAGCATACAGTTTTTTTAGAAAATATTAATTATTAATAAATTTTAAAAGTCGAACAATCGATTCGAGTAATCAGGCATCTTATGCGAAACCCGACTCGAATTGCTTCCTAATTAAAACTAATGTGAAATCCTAATTTCTAAGCTTGATTCGAATATTAATCTAATTTAAAAATTAAATCTAGAATTAAAACTATGAAATAATGAACTATTTAAACAATTTAATTAAAAAATAAAATATCAAAAAAAGTAAAATAAAAACAATCATAAAATAATAATAAAATAAACTTAAAATATGAAGACCTAATTGCATAAAATAAAATAATAGTGACTAAAATGCAAGTAAATAAAAGTTAGTAGTCAAATAAGAAATATATAGTGACCAAAATGTAAAAATTGAAATAATAGTAGCTAAATCAGAAATTAACATTGACTAAATTAAAATAAAACAAATCAGAATAATAAAATTACAATAAATTAGAAATGAAAGGTCTAGTGATCAAAATGCAAAAGCACGACAAAGATTGGGGCACTGAAAACGATAATAATCCAAAAAGTAATAACATATTCACAGAAAAGGCAAAATTACAAAATCAATCCACAAAATTTTTTTAAAAAATTAAAAGGTCATTATACATGACCCAAGTATAAAAACACATTAAAAGTATGGGGACTAAACTGAAATTATATCAAAAATTTCGAAGCACAAACAAAAAATAAGTAGAGGGAGAGGGGAGACCTAAAAAACAAGTAAGTTGTTGGTCGTCTGACCCTCGGCCTCCTCATCACAGATCTGGGTTTGGTTTCACGAGAATCGACCCCTAACGCCGCGAAATGAGCTGAGAGCTCCTCGACTTCCACCGCCTGGATCTCCGTCGTCCGCCGTTGGATCGGGCCCAAATTTTATAATGCTACTCCCCTGTCCCCTCCTCGAGACACTCCTCCTCACTATTCGGATATGCGAACCAACTCTCCGAATGAGGCGAGACTCCGGCCGAACGGTAACTCCTTTTCTTTTTCGTTATTTTTTTGTTTCGAAAGCTAATAAAAAATAAATTAAATTAAATACCAACAAAAAATATTTGAATTGTTTTTTTCTACTTTTTATTTTTTTTTCAAATCGAAAATTCTCTCCCTTACAATGTTTTACTTTAGGTTTTATACCCATTTTACAGAGAAAAAATTATGATTGTTTTTTTGTTTCTTGTGTCTTGTTTCTGCTGTCTTGCGTGGAGCTGGAGCGTAGATGGCGTGCTGGCAGAGAGGAATGGCCTCTGGTTGGGTGGAGTGAAGGTGCCTAAGTGCCTTTCGGTTGGGTGTTTGGGCGGTTATCGGGTTGGGTTTGTTTTGGGGCTGCCCGGGTTTAGTCTTTTTTGGGTTTGTAAAATGGTGCTCACAGCTAGTAATTTCTAAATCAACCAATATTACAAACCTTATTTGATGATGACATGACATATATTAATCTTCAATAAATAATAAAATATTTAAAATATTTACTAAATATAATGGTTAGAAAAAGTCTCTAAAACTTTGACCTAATCCCTTAATATCACTTAAATAAATAATAAATTTTGAGAATTTGTTCTAATCATTGTGTTTAATAAAATATTTTAACATAATCACTTAATCTATAGATGCATAAGTCTCATAGTTGTGGTAGTCAAAACGGTCAACGGACTTCAAGGCTAAGATAAATACATTAAACAACTTCGAGAACTAAATTGATGAAAAAATAATAGAGACAAAATTAATAAATTGGATTTCCTACAACAGTAACAGTTATCCTTAAACCATAATTTTATTAATTATCGTATAATTTATCATTCAATTTATTACTTCTGTTAATTCAAATAATTATTTCATAATTTTTCACAATAAAAAACGCAATAATAATCTGTCTTATAATCTAAGATTAAAAAAAATTGTCGTAAAATAGGCGAATTTCCCAATAAATCACCCTACCCATCTTTATTTCCCTGTCAAACACCTATTCAATTTTATTTCTCAATCTAACACCCTTTGCAGAAAGGCGCGGTTCATTTATCGCATCTTACGCTGATGTGGCGCCACGTGTAAAAATCAGGTGTTAATTTTGTTAATATTTTTAAAATAGTGCCTAATATATAATTAATTTATTTTAGGGTAATTTTTATGTTAAAACGTCAACTTTATTTATTTATTTTTGTGTTTGAAAAAAAACTTTCAACTTTAAAATCTTTAAATATCCTTTTACAAATTATTTTATAAATCGACAAATTTTAACTTTTACATGAAATTACATGATACATATAATCTAGTATAGAAAAGCTTTTAGGGTAAGTAATTTAAAATATGAATAATTTTGTAAAAGTTTTATAACTAGTATTTCTTTTACAAAAAACTTTTACAAAATGATGATGATGATAATAAGAAATATTTTATAATTTAAAAAATTATAAATTTTATATATTTTAAAAAAAATTATTGACTTTTAAAATTAATTATTTAAAAATATAAAAAATATTAAAATAATTGATTTTTTAGCTTTACATTCTTTTTGTTGAATAATCAGGTAAAGAAAACGAAAAGAACACAAGAATTTTAACGAGGTTCAGCAATGTACTTACATCCTCGGTACCATGGGCGGCGCTAGATTTTTCATTCAATTTATCATAGGTTTTGGTTACATCTCTTTTATAATAAATAAACTCTAGTACATATTTACAAAAATAACCATGTACCGTACTGCGGGGCACTCCACTTCATCCTCTATCCTCTTTACCAGTATATTTATGAGTCATACCTAACACTTTTTTATTGAATTTTATTCACTTTTAATTCTTTTTTTTATTGTATTTTTATTGATTTTTAAATATGTAAGTTATAATTCAAATTAATCATTTATTCTGCTATTATTCAAATTAATTAAGAAAAAAATATGTTAAAATGTTTCTAAAAGAAAAAGTATAAATACATACATGAAAATCTAAAAATTTTCCTTTCTTTTTTGTTACTCTCTAAACTTGTAACAAAATTCAATAAAAAATATAAAACTAAAAAATATCACCTATATATTTAAAATATTCTTTCTAATATTAATTTTTAAAAATATAAAATAAATATTAAATTCTAATTTTATTAAAAATGAATAAACATTATTAGTTGTTGTTAAAAAATAATAATTAATGAATAATAATTCATTTGATCCCTCAATTGTAATTAAAAGATTATTTTAATATTTTTTATATTTTTAAACAATTAATTTTAAAAGTTAATAAGTTTTTCAAAAATATATGAAATTTATAATTTTTTAAATTATAAATTTTTTTATCATATCATCATCATTTTGAAAAAGAAATACTAGTTATAAAACTTTTATAAAATTATTCATATTTTAAATTACTTACACTCAAAGTTTTCCTACACTATATTATAAGTATCGTGTAATTTCATGAAAATCCAAATTTGTCGAGTTATAAAATAATTTGTAAAAGAATATTTAAAGATTTTAATGGAGAAAGTGTTTTTGCACACACAAAAAATAAATAAATAAATTTAACATTTTTACATAAAAATTACCCTAACATAATATAATAATATATTTGGCACCATTTTAAAAAAAAATTACGAAACTCGCACCCAATTTTAACACGTAGTGTAAGGCGCGGTGAATGGGCCGCACCTTTCACGACGTAAGGCGCAGTGTATAGGCAGTGTCTTTCTGCAAAAAATATTAGATCGAAAAATAAAATTGAATAAGTGTCTGACAAGAAAAATAAAGATGGATAGGGTGATTTATTTGGCAATTCGCCCATAAAATATAAGAACGCAATAAAGAAGTGTTCCACACTTGAAATATACGTGTAATTTAACTTAAAAAGTCGTAAGTATTCCTATTTAAAAATCAATTTTAAAAAAAAAATCAATCAACAAACTTGACAACGTTTCTCTGACGTGATCCGGGCCAACTTTTGATTAAAATATTCACGCATCTAAAGGTTTACTTTCCCATTATAAAGTTTCTCTTACCTTAACAAAAATGAAGTAATTCTGCAAGCATTCAACTACGATTTCACCCGAGCAATTGGCGATGAAAGGAACGTCGATATGGACATGGATTCTCATCGTATGCCTCTCCAAGGTATCATCAGTGCAGAGCCAATACTACTCGGAGAGCAGACTATATGATCCCAATGCGGAGAAACTCACCAATCTTCACTTCTTCTTGCATGAATATCTCGGCGGTCAAAACGCAACAGCAGTGGTGATAGCCCAAGCTAACATCACAAGCAACAACTCAACACTGCCGTTTGCCACCTTATATGCCGTCGATGATCTCCTCCAGACAGGACCTGAGCCTAACTCGGAGGTGATTGGAAATGCTCAGGGACTTGCCGTCGTTGCCGGAATAAATTCAACGACCGCAGTGATGTACTTTGATTTCGGGTTTACTACGGGTGAGTTTAACGGCAGCTCTATAAGCATATTTTCAAGGAATCCCCTAATAATGGCGGAACGTGAGATTGCGGTGGTCGGAGGAAGAGGAAAATTTAGGATGGCAAAAGGGTTTGCATTACTTAACCCTTATGTGTTAAATGCCACCAACGTCGTTATTGAATTTAACGTCACTGTAATTCATTACTAATACTAAGATGGCATTTGAGACTCCATTCTCTTCGATATTGTGCAAAGTCTATATGTGATCACCTTTAATGGAATAAATGTATGAGTATTATTCTTAGATATAAACATAAAATTTTATTTTTAAGAAACGAGTTTATAAAATTTTATGATAAATTTATAAAATTTTATTATAAATTTATAAAATTTTAAGGAAGAAAGTATATTATTAATATAAGATATAAATAAAATATTTAAATTATATGAAAAATTAAAATTTTCATGTGGAATAACCACTTCATTAATCATTGGCTCGATCCATATCTGAATTTACTCGGGTATGATTTAAATTTTATTTATATTTTATCATCAAAATTTTAGATATGTAAAGTTGAACTTATATTTTTTGGGTACAAACAATAGAGTATTATATTGGTGTCGTGGTCATCTATCAACCTTGTCATTTCCTTATCATTAATCAATGCACAATTTGATTTGGTTGACTTTTACCTAAAATTAACAAAAACTACAACAATTAGTTTTTTATCCAAGTAATATCCTCAAAATAGTTAAATATTAAATTAATACTTTTTAATTATTTTAAGAAAAGAATTTATAAAATTTTATGATAAATTACAAAAGTTTAAGGACGAAAGTACATTATCAATATTAGATATAACTAAAATATTTAAATTATATTAGAAATTAAAATTTTTAAGTGGGACAAGCACCTCATTATTCATTGGTTCGATCCATATCTGAATTTACTCGGGTATGATTTAAATTTTATTTTTTATATTTTATCATAAAAAATTTAGATATGTGAAGTTGAGTTTATATTTTTTTGGAATTTAAATTTATTTGGGTACAAACAATAGAGTATTATATTGGTGACGTTGTCATCTATAAACCTTGTCGTTTCCTTATCATTAATCAATGCACAATTTGATTTGGTTGACTTTTACCTAAAATTAACAAAAACTACAACAATTAGGTTTTTTATCCAAGTAATGTCCTCAAAATAGTTAAATATTAAATTAATACTGTTTAATTATATATCAAAATAATATCTATTTATTTCATGTAAAATAAAAATATACTTAATCAATTGTTTCTTTTAAAAAATTAGAATACATAAATAAATATGTTTAAGAATTAGATTATCAGTTTAAATTAAAAAAATCCAATTATATGAGAGAGAAGATGAGAGTTGAAGTTTGACTGGGTTGTTTAAGAATTAGATATTTATTTATATTATTCAAGAAAATATATTATAAATTTTTAATAATTTTTATTTTATTCATTGGTAGGTGTATCAAATATAATCTCAATCAATTAAAATTTTCTAAAATTTCCAAATTACTTTTTGTCACAAATGGTAAGTTGGTAAGGGTATCCAGGAGTTTTAAATCCAGCACCAATTCTATTTATTCCACAGAGATTTCACAATCAAAAGCACAAAAACCAATTGTTATTCAACATTGTGCAGAAAAATGGAAGCAGGGATGATATTTGCATTGGCAATGTTAATTTCCATCGCCATTGCACCAGTCTATGGAAAATACTATTCCCAGACGGTGACACCAAGTTCAAAGGTGGAGAAGGTAACACGTCTCCACTTCTTCCTCCACGATATCCTCAGCGGAGAAAACCCCAGTGCGGTCATAGTTGCCCGTGCCAACCTCACCAAGAAAGGCGACTCTGTGCTCCCTTTCGGCAGCCTGGTCGCAATCGATGATCCACTCAGAGTTGGCCCCGATCCGACATCGGAGATCATTGGCAACGCTCAAGGACTCTACTTATCGGCCAGTCAAGACGCCTCCAAGTTTACCATAGTTTTATACGCCGATTTGGCTTTTACGAGTGGCAAGTTCAATGGGAGCTCCTTCAGTATATTCTCAAGGAATCCGGTGTTGGAAGCTGACCGTGAAGTGGCGGTCGTCGGAGGGAGAGGTAAGTTCAGGATGGCTAGAGGGTATGCCAAAATTAAGAGCAGCCATTTCAACGCTACTACTGGCGATGCTATTCTCGACTACAAAGTTACTTTGTATCATTATTAAAACAATAAGAAAGATGAAATTCAGGCATCCAAATCCAATTATGATATATTTTCATAATGTGAAATTACATTCTATATATGTGTTATGATGACTCCTTGAAGAATGAGGGAACAATAGTAATGAACCGATAATAAGTGTTGTGGTACATGTATGAATATGATTTTTTGGAAAATCTGTGCAAAAATGGCTAAAACAATGCCCCGAAAAGGTAATAACATTTGTGAATCGCACTTTTAAAAATTAATGAGAAACTAAACCATAGTTTAAGGATTTGTGGATCGGTACTTTTATTACTTTATTTGGCGTAAATTAATATTTAAATTTAATTTTATAATTACCAAAACAATATTATATAAAAATTAAAGTCAACTACATTGATGATCCCTTTTGTTTTCGGCATGTATTATTTTGGCCACGATTTAGAAAAAGTTATGTTTTGTCACTAATTTTGAAAAAGTTATAATTTGGTCGCTTTTAAATTTTGATCTATCTTGTTTTGGTCACTCGATCGTTAGCTTACTAACATGACACATTTTTAAATAATATTACATTTTTACTTGACTCCTAAATTTTAGATGAAATATTAGTTTGACCTTAAACATTAGACAAAATACTAATTTAACCTCTAAATTTTAGATAAAATGTCAATTTGACCCCTAAACACTATCAAAGTCTTGTTGGCCCCCACTCATCACCATTGTTGGCCATCGTCTGTTATCGTCACTGACCATCATCTATCATCGTAGCCGATGACCGTTTGACCTCAAAATTTTTAAATCACGCATTTTTTTCCCTCGTGAACGTGAATCTAGTGCCCATTTCATCAAAAAAATACCTCAAACTCCATAAATCTAGTTTATAACTCAAAGGAGGATGAAGATGCGGAGGATAGAACCCCGTGCCTCTCGCATGCAAAGCGAGCGCTCTAACATTTTAATCTAGAACCCTTCAAATTTCTTTAATTAAACTGTAATAAGAAATTTATTGTTACATTTTGATCACTAAGTCATTAACTAATGTTAGTTTGATGACGTGACACGTTAGTAAAATTGAGTTAATTTTTAATGAATTTTAAACTTTAGATAAAATACTAATTTGACCATGAACTTTAGATGAAATATCATTTTGACCCCTAAATTTTAGATAAAGTATTAATTTGACCTCTAAATCCGATCAAAGTCTCTTGTCATCGATCACCACTGACTATTGTCTCTGTTAATCACCATCAGTCACCATTGATTGTCGTCTTCGTCGACCATTGGACCCCAAAATATCTAGCTCACTCATTTTCAGCTTCCTGAATGCAAATCCAATGTCTGTTTCACCAAAAACTTCTTCAAACTAAACAAATCTAGCCTAGATCCATTCAACTTCTTTTAGAATTAAACTACAATAACAAATTTATCATTAATATTCTTTTAAAAATAAAGAAATCAAACAATTAAATCTATATTATGATCAAATCCATAAATTTTTTGTTTTTAATATTGTTATGTTATATTCTTTTATTATATTTATAATTTTGATTATAATTTTTTAAAATTTATAAATTATAATATTATTTTATAAAAATTTAAACATTAAATTAACAATATCATTCAAATTCTTTTACACGTTTAAGTTATACTGTTTGTTAGGTATGGCTTTGTTCATCGGATCTTATTAATGGCATTCTTGCTTTTGTTTTGGCTACTGTTCCTCAACTTGGGTGTTGCGGAGTGAAATTCATATTTTATATAAAGTTTAAGTGTCAAAATAAAATTTCATCTAAAATTTAGGTTTAGATTAATATTATTTAAAATTTAAGTGTCAAATTTAAAAAATACCTCCTTTTGACCAACATGTTGCATCATCAAATGGACTAGAGTTAATTGTTCAATGATTAAAATATAATAATTAAAAATGTAAGTGACTAAAATGTAACAATTAAATAATAAGTGACTAAAATGTAATAAATTAATAATATAAATGATTGAAAAATAATTTTTTTAATTCGATAATAAAAAGTTTAAAAATATAGGAAAAAATTGACAACTACAACGATATTGATTGATGTTGTTTGAAATTTAATCAAAGAATTATTCTTATATTTTAATTTTAATTTTCTTTAGATAAAATATGTATTTAATAATTAAATTGTTATTTTAATTTAGTTTTGAACTTTCAGTTATTGTTTTATTGTTAACATTATACAGTAATTTTATTTTTATCATCTACAATTAAAAATTAATGATGATACTAATTTGTTAATATAAAGTGATGTTATGTCATCATTAAAAAAATATATATCACGATAATAATTTTATTATTTTTTTAACAACGAATAATCATAAAATTAAAATACATATGGTATGATTAAAAAAGATATTCAAAAACCAAAACAGGTCCAACTTAATAGTCGACTGACTAAATACCTAATTTATTTATAAAAAGAATATGAAAATATATAATAAAACTACAATATAAGAAAAATAATTTGAATATAAAAGGCTTGATTTTAATATCTTTGACTAGGATTGACAACTGTAAACGAACATTTGGTTGATGTTGACCATCAGTTTCTTTAATGTTTATATTTGTATTTTTCTATTGTTTTCTGATAGTAAGTTGCAGTATTTTTTCAAAATTTTCTAAAAGTTAAATAAGATGTATATTTTTATCTTTTATAGATTTTCGTATGTTTTTTGTTTTCTATAATATTTCAATTTTATAGATTCTATTATTTTTTAATTTTATAGAGTTTTAATGAATTTTTATTTTGATAAATATTTGAATTTTATAGCAACTAAGCAATGTATAATGACATATAATATACAAGTTGAAAAGAAAAGAAAAAAGGTGATAAGGTGGTAGATATATGTTGAAGATTCTAATGTGCCGGCAACATTAGAAAAATCGTGAAAACATAAGGCAGCAACAAGTGTGTTGAAATGTCAAATTATATTTGTTACAGAAATTCCAGTATGTTAGTTGTAGTATTGTATGTAAGAGAAAGACTTAAGAGTAAAGTGAGAGACAAAAAAAAATTATGGTGTGCGCATTAGATGGATCCAATGAGAGTGGATGGGATAATCGTTTTCTTGAAAATTATAAATTATAGTTTACATACAAAACTCACTTCTATTTTGTAGCTATTTTTTCTCGGGTTTTTAAATACACATGCATTTTAACTTGAATAAAATTACCAGTAGGAAACAATTTATTTCACCGGAGATAAGAGCAGAAACCAATTATTTCACCAACATCGTAAAAACATTATGGTTTCTTAAATAATTAACCACCATTCTCTAACCCTACCTTTTTTTCTTCTAAAACATCCATTTGATTTGTGAAATTATAATATTGTTTTTCTAGATTTCCATAGACAAAATTAAAGGAAATGGCAACCAACAACTTCAGGCGTTCACAAGTTCTATATAAAGCCATGCAGTGTACAACAATCAACCACAACCAAATATTGTTGAGAAGGAAAAAATGGAGAAACAGAATATAATAGTTACATCGGCAATGATATATCTCCTTGCCATGGCACCAGTCTATGGCCAATACTACTCCGAAACTGTTAGGCCACGGCCTCGGGTGGAGAAGATGACCAGACTCCACTTCTATTTCCACGATATCATCAGCGGCAAAAACCCAGCCGCGGTTCCGATAGCCCGTCCTAACATCACCAACGCCGGTCTATTCCTCACCTTGATCGCAATGGATGATCCCCTCACTGTAGGGCCCGAATTAACATCGACGAATATCGGAAACACGCAAGGGATCTACGTATGGACCGCTAAAGACCCTACCATGTTTTCTGCAGTTTTCTACGCTGATTTCGCGTTTACGAGTGGCAGGTTTAATGGCAGCTCCTTCGGTTTGTTCTCGCGATATCCGATGACGGAAATCGCTCGTGCGAGTGAACAAGTTATTGAATTGGCGGTAGTGGGAGGGAGAGGTGCGTTTAGGATGGCCACAGGGTATGCTCGTACTCGGGTAACTTATGCAAACGCCGAGAACGGAGATGCTAGTCTCGAGTTCGATGTTACTTTGTACCATTACTAAACCAGATTGCAGAATATTAAAATAAACTTCAATAATCCTTGTAATTCTGTGAATTTGAATTGAGGAATAAAACCATGATCCGTTCTTCGTTATAACCATTTTTCTTGTTATGCTGAATTCTTGTGACATATAAATACATATACGAATCAATCTGAAAATTTCACAATGGAAATACTGTGTCAAATGATATAAAAAATATTCAATTACAAGTAAGAGAATAGGAGCTAACTTAAGGAATATTGTAACACCCCATCCCGTACCCGACCCGGATACTAGTCTGAGATGTCACATTGACTTTTTAAAACGATATTATTCCAAAATAACCAAATATTTGAACTCATTTTTTTAAAAAAAAATACGATGATATATTATTAAATTATGCTTCATTATAAAATTTAAGGCAAAAACGTATGTATGAACAGTAAATACGATATGAACAGTGATGAACAATAATGAACAGTGCTACAGTACTGCTACAGTGACTTTCGTAAAACGTTCATAAAACTCGTAAAAAAATTTAACCGTTTATTACTATACATTTACATTTACATAAATACGTTTAAAACATTACAAAATTTGATCAGAGCATAAATACTTAATTTACCAATTTTGTTTACATGCCAACTTATTTTCACATAATAAAACATACTATTTAATCTACTTCTGATCTGACCTTCAAATGGAGTTATGTTGTTCTACTAAGCTTAGCTTTGATCTTCCTGCTTCTCAATACCTACGTGTAAATCAATTACACGCTAAGTCATAGACTTAGTGAGACATATAAATATAATAATAATGCATTCAATATGAATATGAACATGTAATCTATCCATTCAATCATGTCATATGCAATTCAATATAAACAATAATAATATGGTAACATATAACTATAATAATGCACTTACCTTTGATAACCTTTTATAGGCCATGTACATTTTTGAGAACTCAAGGCATTCGAGTACATTGAGGTTGTACACTATTACTGTC